GTCTGTGATGTGGCCCTGCCCCTTTCAGGTTGGCAGCAAGGGGCAGGGCTGTATAACAGACAGCCCTTACAGCCAACCAGAGGTGTGGGGGGCTCCCTGCGCTCCACCCATGAAATGACTGTCAAGCTCCGTGTTCTGCCCTCAGAATCAGTGGGCAGCCAGCACAAATTAGGTAGGCCCCTGACTATAGTAAGGCAAGTTCTTATCTTTCCTAATAGGGACCAGAATGTTGTTTAATAAAGTTACAGTTGCCCAGTAATATATCGTACATTTCCAGAATGTGCCAAGGGAATAACCTGGCATTCAGTTTCTGAAACCAGGTTACAGTGTATGCCACCCTCTGAACACATCCTGAACTCTCTCCTGCTGCCTCTGGCAATAGCCCCAGGAAATGGTTAACAGAAGTGGGGCAGTAGTTTGCAAACTACCTAGGGAAGCACCTGATTCTCCACCTTAAGTCTTCAAGTAAAGACATAGGGCATTTATACACGTACCGTTTTGTCCCATGACGCCCCAGAGATCCTCCACTTTGAAGCAGACATGATTAATGTGAAGTGATGCGCATTGTGCCATGTGTAATTGTATAAGCAGCAAAATGCACATCAGCATGCAGAAAATGGCAGTGGTGCACTTTAGCTCAAAAGCATGACCGAGGTGTTTTAGTTCAAAAGCGCACCACCACTATTTTCTTCACGCTGATGTGCGTGTCGCAGCTTATACAAGTGCATATAAGCGCTGCAGCGCTTATACATGTGAAACAGCCCTAAGTGCCTTATTAGAAGATGCTTTACTCCAGCACAGGGTAGTAGGTTTATTACAGGAGTCAGAGATGAAATTCTTTGTCCTTTCTTATACAGGAGATGAGACTGTATGATCTAACAGTTCTCTCTGGCTTCCACATCCAATTCCATAACAAGGAAATGTGAGGAAGGACTTGGGGAACTTGCAGTTTTGTGTTGTGGTCCAGTTCTGAATTTGATTATTTATCTGCATGCACTGTAGTGTCTGGATGCACTGAATGGTTGGGCTGTGACCCCCGCCCAAAGCCTCTGCCCCCAGCCTGGGCTGTGTGGCTGTCAGCAGCTACGCAGAACCTGGGCCAGCTGCAAACATCTGCTGCCTCTCCACCCTGGCCCCGGCCCCAGACCCAGCCCTGGGCTGCAGGGAGGCAGCACAGCGGGGAGCACTGCTGATGTAAAGCAGCGTTGGAACCTGGCGCAGCAGGGCACAGTGGGGGGCGCAGAAAGTTGCCTGCTCCTTGCTGCCCTGCCACACTTCCCCTGTGTGCACAGGAGTAGTGTGGGCAGCAGCGCAGGGTTGTGCCCCTCACTGCTGCCCCCACCTGCAAGGGAAGTGTGGCAGAACAGTGGGGAGCTTGGAGCAGGCAGCTTCCCCCTCCCCGCCCCTGCTCAACAGCACTGGCCGCCTGTGGGAGCTCACTGCTTGCCGCCGCCACACTCCCACTGCTGACAGTGCCGCTGCCGCCTGCGGGAGCTCACCGTGTCCCCGCCACCAGCTTCTGGGGGCATACGGCATTCATGCCCTGCCCTCTCCCCAGTCACCTGTACGCCATGCACAAAGGCTTTCCACACCACTTGTGGGACATGTGCCACAAATTGGCCACCTCTGCCTTAGTGCATCCTTCAGTGCTCGTGTGCTCTTGTCCTAGCATTCTGTGGCATCTGAAGGCTGAGTGCTCATATGGATTATTGGCATGTTGGAGCTTTGCTCCAAGGCAGAGTTTGTTGCACAGATGGCCAGTGCCTTAATCCTGTAGCTCTTAGCATTCAGAAGCTTATTTGTAGCCACTCCACCTTTTGAAAGGGTATGAGGCTCCACTAGGCTACCTTAAATCCTGCATTTGTAAAGATTTGGGGAACTTATTTTTAAATAATCTCTGTGTTCCCATGTGCTGCAGGATTCTGTTTCCCACCCCAAGGCCTCTTGATTCCTCGGTACTGACCACTGTGTCCATCAATTGTGCTGGCTGTACATTGTGTTCTCTTAGCTGGGATGGTGAAGGGGCTCTGGCAACATCAAATGGATTGCCAGAGACAGGAAGGTAAAGAGTGAAAACGCAGACTCTATCCCAGATCTGAGCCTAGTGCAGTGATTCTCAACCACATTGGGGTGCCTTGAGATCCTTTCAAGGGTGCTGGGGTGTGCCACACAGTATTAGCACCTCTGCCCTCTCTCATTTTCCCTCAAAGATTCTGAGAAAGAGTGGCTCTGGCCTCCCTACCTCGGTGTTGGAGCCAACATGGGGAAGATAAGGAGTTTGGTGCGGGGAGGAGACTGTAGCTTGTTCCTGTGACCAAATGATCCAGAGACTTTCTTTTTGTTCACACTCACTCTTGTTCAGGAAATTGGTGAAGGGTATGAGTCAGCACTATATTGCCCTAATTGCTTACTAGTCTAGAGTCTTGTATCTTGCCTCTACTTAATCAATATTAATTTCCTGGACAGTGCTTCTAAGTTAAAGCTAGAGTCTGCACGTGGATTTTTGAGCATCTGTAGAATACTGCTCTTAACCAGAAGGCTTGGCTTACAGTTAAAACTTTTTCTCTGATTTCCCAGCCCATTTAAGCACCATAGAGCACTACCACTAGTGCAGGGCTTGAACTGGTAGTGCAGTGGTATAGTTCAGGTGCAGTGCCCAGAGCACATCACCTTGAGCCACACACTTACCATGGCATATTTTCTACACATTCCTTGTCTTTAACAAGGAGCCTGAGTCCTGCTGTATACATGTATTTATTTCACTTCTAGAAAAATAAGTTTAGTTTGTGCTGACCCATAGGCATCAAGTGCCATGCCCGAGTTCAAACTTGAGTGACTGAAAACAGGTGGAGAAGGATTAGAGATACGTTGGAGCCCTAAACATGTCTCAGATAAAGACCCCAGGTGATTTTGTAAATGGCTAATGGGAAGATAGCTGTATATCAAGACCCCCTTGCTCAAATCACCACAAACTTAAGTTGCTAACTGTCTCTCAGAAATTTTTGAGACAACTGAGTTATCCTGTGGGTTTTGGAGCACTTACTGACTTTTAATCAGAAAGCAATGCTCAATGTAAACTAGAGGTGGGTAGACGCTCTATTATGTCATTATGTTTACTGAAGACTCTACTAAGATTCTGTCTGAAGGAAAATTTCACGTATGCAGCTGTAATCCTTTTCTAGATGATCATGAGGTGTTAAACCCAGTGACAATCAAACTGGTAATGACTTCAGTAAAATAACCCAGTGTTTTCTTTTTCAGCTTAGAGTTTTTATACCTTGGAGGAAATTTCATTACTTCAATCCCACCTGAGTTAGCAAACCTGCCTTCACTAAGCTACCTGGTACTGTGTGACAACAAGATCCAAAGTATCCCGCCACAGCTGGCTCAGTGAGTATTTCCAACTACTTCATTTTTCTCATACACCAGCTATAATTAACACTCAAAACATTCTTTATGGGGCAAGTGTGGATGGGAGTAATTGGGAGAAACAACTTGCTCTTCAGCTTTTAATCACAGGTTAGATCTGTAGCAATAGGTTCTTAGGCCCAGGCACTGGAAAAAGACTGTAAATGTATGGTGCAAAGAGAATTGATTTGAAATACTATGAATGGGCACTAGTGAATATCTACTTAAGTTGTGATTGTAAGACATGTCCCCATAGCATCTAAGCACAGGTTTAGGAAATGCAAAAGTTCCAGTAGTGCAGTAAATTGCTGCCGTTCACATCTTCATTGGGTTGCACTCAACCTGCTTTGCTTGCACCCAGACCTTTTGGTGATACTGCATGCTCCTTTATTCTTCTATAACACCTCTCATGTAGGGATTGCAAAATACTTTAATATTTGCTTAGCCTCACAATAAACTCCTGAAGGGTAAGGAAACATTTTCATCCAGCACATAATAAGGAAAAACCCAATACAATAGTTTAAGACAGGAAATGAAGAAGAATTTGATATGCAATTGAAACTCTAAGCTAAAGGTATGGAAGCCTAAGGTGGCATTTAAATGGGGTAGCAAGTCTTGGCACTCCTTCTTTTGACATGGGCTCTTTAATGACTCTGGGTGCTCATGACCTTGGTTTTGTCGCACATGAAAATGGTTCCAAGTAGCATCCTATGGCACTGTCCTGGGGCCCTGGTTTTATGGTTGCTAAGTAGGGTGAGCTTCCCTACAGAATCAGCAGGTGGGGTGTCACCTATACAGACATCACTGTGACCTTGCTGAGCTCTTTAGTTCTGACCAGATCACAGCACAAGGTGGAACAATGAAAGCATGGGGTTTCCCAGAGCTGGGTGGCTGCCAGCGCACTCATCTTTAATACATGAATAAAAGCAAGTGACTTAGAATATAGCACAGAGCCTTTTTGGATGCATGCCCCTAGTGCATAGAAACATTAGCCTTTTAAGAACATCCATTTTATATAGCACTGCTTTTGTTCTTTATTATGTTTTTTAGGGTGGGTGCGGGATGCGTTTCAGACCAAGTTTCCTTCCTTACCAGGCATTTAGTAGTTGAGCAAGGCTTTTATTTTGTATGCTAAACCAACACCAGCAGTTTTAGCATGACTTTGTGCTTTGAGGAGGAAACTCAGACAAAAATGGGCAAGAGGTGTGGTAAGCAGGCTGTACTTCGTAATATGAATGCAGACAAGTTTTGCTTGCTCCTCTGGACTCTTCCTCTTGCTCTTCAGGTTGCATTCCCTACGTTCCCTTAGCCTCCACAACAACCTGTTGACATACCTCCCCCGGGAGATCCTCAACCTGGTTCACCTGGAAGAGCTGAGTTTGCGTGGGAACCCTTTGGTGGTTCGGTTTGTCCGTGACCTGACCTACAATCCCCCAAGTCTCCAGGAACTGGCTGGGCGAACCATTAAAGCCCGCAACGTTCCCTATGGTCCCAGTGATCTCCCTGAGAATCTTCTCAAATATCTGAACCTGGCCAGCAACTGTCCCAATCCCAAATGTGGGGGTAAGTTGGTTGCTCTCTAGTTCCCACTCTTCTCCCTGCTTTCATTTCATTATACATCGCTTTATAACTATCTCCTCCCTCGTAGCCTAGCTGCATGTGCTGCTGTATCAGGAAATGCCTGCTGAATGTTTCAGTAGCCCCAGGTATTGTATATATCCACAGTTATGCTGAAATTAATACATGGATTGCACTTAGCTGTTCTCGTCTTCAGTTAAAAATGTTATTAGTAAGGGTGCACTTGAATATTCTTATCCTTTCAGTGACTTTTTGTCACTGTTGTTTCTTAACTTACGTGTTCCTATCCAAAGCAGGGAAAGTCCTTCCAGGGACACTTTAAAACCCTAGCACTGTCACATACGGTGGGAAAAGATTTTTTGTTTTGTTTTGTTTTTTGTAAAACCAGCCAACCAAGAGCACTATGTTATGGGGTGTCCTTAGGAAGACTCACTGCTTTGCAGATTAATTTCTCTAATTGGGAGGAAATGTAGATCACACCAGTTCAGCCAGAACTAAAGACATTGTTCTGGGTTGAAAAACTATATATAACACTATAATATATGTGCAGACGTGTATGTGTGCAAGCGGTTTTGTAGGCATTGTGCAAGCTTAGGAGTTCCAAACAACATATGTAGCATTTTTCATCCAGTCATTACATCCATGTAGGACAATCTCAAAATGGAATGGCTGGAAGGAAGGAGGGGCCAGATGTGTTGAGAGGAGAGGGAAGGGAAATTTCTTTTCTGAGTGGTGTGTAGCTTAGACAATAACAGTAGATAGGTTTCATTCTCTTCTGACTATTTTTTTCTTGTCTTTTTTTTTTCATGAACTAGCACCACACTCCAGTTCTGGTATACACACTTTCAGGAGAAGGGGGATGGGGGAGGCAGCTGTTAGAGTTGGAAAGAGCTAGCTCCAAACCAAATAGAATTTTTAAAAAGACCATCCTAGAAACTTCTGAAAATGTCCATGTCTAAGATTGGCCTCTCTGCAAGAGGAGAACATAATTGTGTGTTAGGGCATCATTCTGTTCCCATGGAAAATAGCATCTAAACTCAGCATGACGACTTCAGTCAAGCAGAAGAGAAATAGTGCAGTGAGAGGGAGAGCTTTTATTTGTATACACACCTTTGTCTGCTGGTAGAAGGGGCCTGTCAAACAGGGAAGTACAGTGGGCAAATGGATTTAATGTTTAAGGATATGTTTGGCAGCTCCCAGCATGAAATTTTCTCAATTCGTGGATAAATCTCCTTTGCTGTGAAATGAATAATCCATTGTTTCTTTTTCCAGAGATTCTTTTGCCCTTCTAAACTTTCACCTGGAGATCTCAGTTGCTTAAGAATTTTCTCCAACCCCTAGCAGGTGGCAGCTGAGTATCTCCATTTTATAGATGGGGCTTAAAATGATCCATTTTCCCTTGAGTTGCAAAACCAGCAATGAAATTGTGGCAGAGCTGAAAATAAAACACAAGTGTCCTGATTTTTTTTTCTACTGCCCTGCTCCTAGTCATGCTAGTGACTACTTGGCAAACACATGCTCACAGACAAGCAAACTGGTAGGAATTTAGCAGGATTAGATTGTTGGGTCTCAGCATGAAATCTGTGGTGTTCAGAGACTTAACAAACTTCCTGTTTTTCTATAAAATCTAGTCAGTACATGAATTACCAGAAGCTACATATAATCTAAGTCTAAAAAGAATTAAATCCATGATAGTCCACAAATACAGTGCTCCCTTCTCTTCTCCAAAGTGTCTTTTCTTCCTCCCCCTCTACAATGTTTTTCATCACCTCTCCTGGTTAATTCCATCCGAAGTGGATGTACGTGGATAAGAAATTATATAGTTTTTTTAGCCAAATCATTGAGGCATCATTTCTTTTCTAAAATCTGCCCTACGTTCATTCTCTTTGCAGGTGTCTACTTTGACAGCTGTGTCCGACAAATCAAGTTTGTTGACTTCTGTGGGAAGTACCGCCTCCCACTGATGCACTACCTGTGCTCTCCAGAATGCTCCTCACCCTGCAGCTCTGCCTCGCAGAGCTCCACTTCTCAGAGCGAGTCTGATTCAGAGGACGAAGCCATTGTTGCTGCACACAGGATGCAGAAAGTTCTTCTTGGATAAAAGGGATTGAGGGAGAAAAGGCTGGAAAAGAAACATGTTAGAAAAGCAATAATGGAACTGCAAAGTCTGAGGGTCTTGCCTGAGGAGCTTATAGAAACTGCCGTCAAGTCACATGGGGGCAGAACATCATCTAAGCAAATGTAGGATTGCTTGGTGCAGTGCTACTTAGAAGAACTAACTCAATGATGCACCTACATGTAGGAGTGTTCCAGAGCTAGTGGTTGGTACAAAGTCCACCACAAAGGTCTGCTTTCTGAGAGGTCTGCCTGAAAATGGGAGATGGGACCTGCTCTGGTTAGGAGGGTGGTTTAAATGGGTTCTAAAGCACGACACTTCACTGAACTGCTAAGCACCTTATGAAGCAAAGGAGACTGCCCCAGGACATAACACTGCAGTCAATCAGAAATGGTGTAACACCTATATTGTGCATGCCTGTGGACTCAAGGCTGTGTTTGTCAGCAGAGGTTTTGTTTCTTTGTATCACACTTTAGCACCCTGCTGTCTCCTTGATTTCCAGTTACATATTCATACAGCTCCCAAAGTAAGAATTCTTTTTATGGGGTGTGGATTTTCTAATCTCTGGTTACTCTTCCTTTGCTTCAGACTTGGGATCTCCGTCCTGTTGTGAATATTACAGCCTTAGAACTGAGCCTTATTTGGTATTTATCTGCCTTTTTATACTGAGCTGCTGTTTGCCTTCTCTTTAAGTCCATCCTGATTCTCTAATTGCAGCTGGTGCATCTTGCCTCAAAATATAGACAAGTTGTCTCACTGAGACTTGATGTCAGTTCAGTTCTACAGCCATGTGCCCCCAAGCAAAGGACCAAATGTTTTGCCCAGCAATGTGCTTTGAACTCTGATTCTAGTGGAGCAAGTCTGCTCTTAAACCTCTGCAACTTGTATGGGCAACTCTTGATTAATCTTTCTGTTTAATCAAGACCTGGATGGCTAAGATGGTGCCTGTTGGTGACAGCAGTCCCTCAATACAAGGGTGCCAGTCTTCCAGTAGATAGGAAAGTGGTTTTACTGTTAAGTAAGAGCTATTTGTTGCATGGCTTTTTGTAAACTTTATTTTTCCTCCCAAAGGTGTACTGCTTCCTTAAATTGAAAGTACAGAATAGGACAATGCCAAGAGCACGGTGTTCTTCCACCTTCCTGGTATGAAAAGAAGAGCTAGTGGGAGGAAACAGAAGACATG